AAACCATTCGGTGCTTGACGTCATATTTTTGTTGCAATAAAGGCATTTAAGCATGCCCAAAAGGGAAAAATTCATTCCGCCTAACCGGGATGAAGTGTTTATATGGGAATTTTTCATCCCGGCTAGGCGGGATGAAGTGTTTTTATATGGGAAGTTTTCATCTCGCTTAGGCAGGATCCCGGCATCTGTTGCCGAAATCCAGTCTAGGCGGGATAAGTGGCAGGATCATATAAACACTCTTTAGCATTTGTATTACGAGCGGGATCTCGGTAAGCATCCCGTCCGCCTGGCCGGGATCATATAAACAGGCCCCTAATCTCATCCCATGATACTGAATCACAGTTTGTAAGGCCCCATTTACATGAGACCAGGATGAAACCAACCTGGAATGAAAATTGAAATTGCATGTCAACATGTTTACATGAGACCAGTATGAAAATCACAAAATTTTCAATTTATTCCCCTTGCCAGGCAATTTTCTTTTTTAGATGACTTTTGTTAGCATGTGTTGTTCACTTGTTCCAATGTCAACATTCATTCCAGTCTGAATTCATACTGGTCTGAGTCAGTCGGCTTGGTCCAGCAGGTGGAATGACTTGAGACCTCATGTAAACATCTATTATATATAATATAATGACCAAAACGAAATGGTCCCGGTTAATTGACTTTGTTCCAGTCTCATGTGAATTGAACCTAATAAAATCCTTCAAAAGTTGGCTAAATTTTTCCAAAACTTCAGTCAATATAGTTTTGTAGTACACCAATCCCAAGATCTGTCACTAAATTATGGGTTGATTGCCTGAATAGATATAATTCCTCAAATCATGATTTTTGAAGTTAATTTGATAGATATTTTTAATTGAATGGATTATTGGGTCATATTTTTCTGCTATTTAGCCTTAATATTGTAGACTTTTTTCAGAAAAGGAAGTGCAAACAAGCGCATACAATAGCAATTCTTCTTCAACTATAAATAAATGGGCAACAATTTCTAAATAGCAAGGGAGCTGAATGACTGTATGGGTATGGACTATGGATAGCTCTTTCATGCATGGTCTCTGCTCAGTTTGTATGTTGTAACTTATATGTCGAGCCATTGCAAGTGAATTTAACAAAGCCAGCGAACAAAATTGACAAAAATATACACGATTTAGTTGCACATTTCAGCTTGGAGTTTGGTACTATTTCAACTGTCAATTCGACCTCGAACTTTGAAAGGTTCAAAACCTATCTGTCTCATGTTTGCTCACTCTATAATTTTGTATACGCAAAGGTTTTCAGCATAACTTAATAACAAATTATAATTTAGGTTTTGGAAATCATTGGTTTTTTATCAGGAAGCAGTGCGCGCTAACACTCTCGGACAACATTTCGACGGCCATTTTTAACCACCAAATTAAACAGAGTATATAAATAAAATAACACCCGAAATAACGTTTTTTGTTACTTAAATCTTATCATTAAGTTTCTTATAATAGCTGAAAGTAACAAAAACATATAAATTTTACACAAGTAATATTTTATAAAGCAATAGTTTCAGCATACCTTCTGATGGGTCATGTACGCGTAGCCATATTTGTTTACAATTAGAACGTCTTACCCCCCGCGAAGTCCGCATCACGGATGGGTCCGCTCGATGTATGGCCGTTTCTACGCCCTCTCTCCCTTTGCCCTGATCGATATCGAACCCACGAACGCACCTCCTCGTAGCCAATTGAACGCACCTCCCAGCGTAGCCAATAGGAAAGCCGCTAATACGCTAGGTATGAGATAATAGAGCAGATCGACTCACGAGTTCGAAGAAAGTACTTTACTTTTGTTTTAATTCTTCAAGGAAAAGCGAGGGAATGGATTTTACAAGTTGGAAAGATTGAATAAACATAAATATGTATAGCCGCGGCTTTATAGAAGCGTTTGGCAAATTTTATCGGCGAGTTTTGTTGAAAGTTCGCCCGGCGTTACATCTGCCTACCTTTGTGTCCTTTAATTGTAAAGGGTAATATTAGATGATATACAGTATAGGCCGGGTTACGAAATGGCCTGAAAATCAATAAAAGTGAAGTAAATGACACAGTAAACAAGTATAGAGTCCATCAATATTTTGAATCAGTGCGTATTTAGGCGGCATTATTTTTTACAGTATTTTACAATATATGAAGTGTACATATATTAATATATCAAACCATGTTAAAACCACCCCCAAATCACACAGAATACATGAAGGAAACTAAGTAAGTTATACTTTATAATTTAAAGTAAATTTTTAATGCAAAATATAATAAAATTAAACAATAAATGAATACCCACACAGAGCCTGGGCTACTTGTGCTCGCGCCATAGCAAGCGTATCCTATGAGTAATGATGAATATTTATCAAGGCAAACTGCACTGAATTTATATAAAGGGTCGCTGAGCAAAACTCATGCAAGAGCTAAAGCGAAATAACAAAACTATTATTATTATTAATTAACTAAATCTCACTTTAAAGTGCCTATATCACTTGTGGGACCTTTATGGATTCGAAAAGAGCGTAAAAATTTAGTTATTAAGTTCAAAAGATTTTTTTGATTTAGTGCAATAATTTCGAATATACAGGCCTCTAAACTACCTACAGTTCCTGAGTCCCAGGCTCCTATTGACAATGGACAGTTTCGAAAAAGGCCAAATTCAATAGCCGTGTTTGGACCCCGAAAACTTGGGACTCAGGAACTGTGGGCAGTTTAAAGTCCTGTATCTTCGAAACTATTCCACTAAATCTAAAAAAATCTTTTGAACTTATTAACTAACTTTTTACACTCTTTTCAAATCCATAAAGGTCCCACGAGTGATATAGGCACTTTAGCGGGCTTTTCAGATTAATTTACATTATAATGTAAGTGTAGTACGCTGGCCCGTTTGGGACACGCTTGTTCCGTAGAAAATCACATTCGTTCTGTGCAATTGAAGTAGTACAATTTTGCATAATATAGCAACTGAAGTTACCATAGTTACCAGACTATGCGCGCTCATTAGTTTTAGATTTCTACGGAAGGCGTCTACTGTACATTTGTATCATGGAAGGCATGCATAAAATTTCTATGGAAGGCATCTACATTTGTACGGAAGAAGTCTATATTTGTACGGAAAGCGTCTATATTTCTGCGGAAGTCGTCTGAATTTTCTACGGAAACGCCGCACATTTATACAGAAACGCTCTGTTATTAGGGAAAACTACTTCAAGGACACAGAAAGAATGTGATTTTCTACGGAACAAACGTGTCCTTAACGGGCCACCGTATCCGTATAAGTGTGATACAACAAACGATTTGATTGGCTAATGCGCGTGCATTAATTGTGACGCAATAATGCACTGTGATCTGTGGCACTGCCTTGCTCTTTCTCTGTTTTTCCCTTTTCATAACTGCTTTTTAGCCAAAAATATAAACAAAACTATTGAGCTTTTACAATACAAAATTTACCAGGAAGCAAGAAGGAATAGACCAAAAGGAACAAAGCAATTTTCTATAGTTCTACGTGTAAAATTAACCGATTGGCAATTTTGCTCCTTTTCTCGCTTAAAAATTCAAGCGACAGTATGCGCGTGACGTCACTGAGTACATGTTAGGAGAATTTCAACGTTGATCTTTTGAGTAAAATTGTTTACTATGTAATATCTTCTACTTATATTATAAAAGAAATAGAAAAACTCGTATCGTGCTTTTATAATGCGATAATGAACTTGGGGAATGTTGGGAGAATATTCGAGAAGCGTGTAAAACACTCGGCTACGCCCCTTGTTTTACACGCTTCTCTAGTATTCTCCCAACATTCCCCGCGTGCATTATCACACCACAAACGCACGCGACTCGTTTTCTATTTCTTAAAAAAAAACTTAATTACATGAATAAGAATATGCTAATTAACGCATGTTTTCAACGTCTCAAAGCATGTTTTGTTTCAAAGTTAAATGTTTCTTACAAGTTTTGAAAACTTCCAATGTTCTTGAAATTGCTGCCTAAGTCGTTCCGTAATTTAATATTATTTAAATCATTTTTATTCAGTGTTTCACGGTCCAGGATGCTGAAACGAGCAGAAAATTCTGTATTAAGTACTAAGTTGATAATAGTCCTTTTCTGAACAATGACATAAGACGTGCTATGCATGAACGCGATTATTTTCTTAAAAAAGCGAGACAATCTGGGCTTGTTGAAGATTGGTCGACTTACCGTTGTCTTAGAAACCGCGTGACAAACTCGATCAGAAGGGCAAAGGAGTCATATAATAGGCGTATTATTGAGGAAAATAGCACTGATAGCAAGGCGTTTTGGAAAACGATAAAAAAGGTTTTACCAGGCGAAAGTAAGCAATTGATCTCCTACTATGCTTGATGACAATGACAATGTTTGTCACGATAAGCATCGTATCGCGAACATGTTTAACAGATTTTTTGTGACTGTCGTTGATCGTCCTCGTGAGTCATTTGTAACTCCCATCGTGGCTACTTGGAATAATGTCGTTGTTGGGCATCCACAACAATCTCACCGCCAACCTTTTCAGTTTAACGATGTCAAACAGAAAGTTTCGTCTTAACTCAACTTAGTTATTTAAAGATACGGAAAGTTGCTGGTTTGGATAATATCCCCCTCGTTTTCTCAAAGACACTGCTACTATTATTGCCGAGCCTCTCGCGAATATTATCAATGCTTCCTTACGTCAAAGCAAGGAACCCGATGCTTGGAAAGCCACCCGCGTGATCCCGTTGTTTAAGAAGGGAAAAGTTTAAAATGAAAGTAACTATCAGCCAATTTCCATCTTATCAGCCGCGTCAAAACGTGCAGCTTTGTGGTTACCTGTTGGAGCATAAGATCCTGAGTCCGTACCAGTGTGGCTTTCGCAAGCTCCATTCTACCCAATCTGCTGCTCTCTCGTTCGCTGATACCATCAGGCGTAACATTGATCAAGGAATCATGACTGGAGCTGTGTTTATAGATTTAAGTAAAGCCTTTGACAGCATTGACCATAGCATCTTATTGAAGAAGCTCCTCTCTATGAGTATTGTTGGCAGGGAACATGAATGGTTTGCGGACTATCTTCGTGGTAGAACGCAAATTGTTGACTATCAAGGAACGTTTTCAGATCAAGAGGCAGTTACTGTTGGTGTACCCCAAGGGTCTTTTCTCGGCCCTTTGCTGTTTGTATTACATGTGAATGATTTGCCGAGTGTTATTCGACATTGCCAGATTCTTATGTACGCCGACGACACAGTAGTTTTTTTATTCTGGGAAGATTGCGTCAACAATTGTGAGTAAACTTACTGAAGATCTTGATGTTATCGGTTCGTGGCTATGCAGTAACAGTTTGTTTCGAAATGTAACTAAGCGGTCAGTATAATCTGCAGACTGCGGACTGCAGACTGCAGACCGGACTGGGTACAAAATGCAGACTGGGGGTATAAAATGCAGACTGAGGATAAAATCCAGACTGGGGGTGAATTAGGGATATTTTACAAATTCCCGCCAAGCCATAGTCACGTGATCGTTCTTGTTGATAATATTAATGTTGAAGCCTCTGGTTGAAGCTAGTCATGCACTTTCATCAAAATGGACGAAGACAGCGATGTAAGGGCCATTCCATTTAATATACACACCCCCTATGTACGAGGTCAATAAAATTTGAACACCTAAGAAAAAAAGATAAAAGTGCCGACACAAACACCCCCGAGAAATTAAGAAATTTTTGCCTTACCCCTCAGAAAAAACGCAAAGATCAAAGGATGCCGATGCACGCAACCCCTCAGAAGCGGCTTTTTCAACCCCCCTCAGAAATTCTCGTCCATAGGGGTATATTAAATGGGATGGCCCGTAGAGGTATTGATATTATGTGAATATTTATATTATTCTCATTCAACCGTAAAACTTGATAACTTTAACACATTTCTTTGCTTTTAATATGCTTTTTGTTACGTTGCATTAGATCGGAACTGGCAATGAAATCTGGACGTTTTGAGTGTGAAATTTTAATGGTATATATCGTGTCGACTGTCGACAAGCACTCTACTCATATATGTTTCAAAACTCGGCAAACGCAAGCTTGCTATTTGTCTATATATGTATATGAACTTGAATTACAGGAGCGAAACGCTTGAAAATATGAAAAATTGCTAATACAAAACCATGTGCTTGACAGTCTACACGATATATACCATTACAATTTCACACTCAAAACGTCCAGATTTCATTGTTCCGATCTAATGCAACGTAACCAAACGTTCAAATATTAAACGTAAAGAAATGTGTTAAAGTTATCAAGTTTTACGGTTGAATGAGAATAATATAAATATTCATATAATATCAATACCTCTACATCGCTGTCTTCGTCCATTTCGACTATGGCTTGGCGGGAATTTGTAAAATATCCCTAATTCACCCCCAGTCTGCATTTTATCCTCAGTCTGCATTTTATACCCCCAGTCTGCATTTTGTACCCAGTCCGGTCTCCAGTCTGCAGTCCGCAGCCTGCAGATTATACTGACCGTGTAACTAAGACTGAAGCTATGTTGTTTGGTACACAGGCTAGACTTTCTCAAGTTGATGACTTTTGTGTAACATTTAATGGAAATCCGATAAAGCGTGTATCTGAATTTAAATATTTAAGAATTCAGTTTGATGAAAAAATCTCATGGAATGCTGATGTTAAGTAAATTATTTCAAGAGTAGGGAAACGATTAGGCGTGCTAAGGCGCATAGGGGGTAACATTACGTCACATTGTGCGAACGTGATTTATCTATCCTATGTAAGACCCATTCTGGAATATTGCAACATTGTTTGGGGTCGATAGTTGCGGTGTTTGTAACAGCACCAGTTTAGAAAAACTTAAGACGCGCAGCTAGGATTACAATGAACATTAGTGATAGTGACGAAGCTATGGACAAACCGACTTTACAGAATAGGCGGGTCATAATAAAAAGTGTATTAAGGGTCATTGTCCTCAATTTTTTAAGGATTATTTCACTTTCAATAATGTGATACATAACCGTACGACAAGGCAAAGCGATATGCTTCATTTGCCAAGGGTTCGAACAGAAACCGCAAAACGCTCCTTTTATTATAACGGTTGTAAGATTTTTAATAGACTTAATTCTTAGTATTTTTATAATGTAGCTTACTAGTTTATAGCAGTAGCAGTAGTTGTAGTATATTTTGTATATTCATGTAATTTTAATAGTACTGTAGCTGATGAAATTTACAGGGCCTCTATTGATCGCAGAAGCTTGTCTTCTGAAAGGGTAACTCGTTACCTTACATTACATTACATTACATTACATTACATTACATTACATTACATTACATTACATTACATTACATTACATTACATTACATTACATTACATTACATTACATTACATTACATTACATTCATTACATTACATTACATTACATTACATTACATTACATTACATTACATTACATTACATTACATTACATTACATTACATTACATTACATTACATTACATTACATTACATTACATTACATTACTACATGACATGACATGACATGACATGACATGACATGACATGACATGACATGACATGACATGACATGACATGACATGACATGACATGACATGACATGACATGACATGACATGACATGACATGACATGACATGACATGACATGACATGACATGAAATGACATGACATGACATGACATGACATGACATGACATGACATGACATGACATGACATGACATGACATGACATGACATGACATGACATGACATGACATGACATGACATGACATGACATGACATGACATGACATGACATGACATGACATGACATGACATGACATGACATGACATGACATGACATGACATGACATGACATGACAGGACATGACATGACATGACATGACATGACATGACATGACATGACATGACATGACATGACATGACATGACATGACATGACATGACATGACATGACATGACATGACATGACATGACATGACATGACATGACATGACATGACATGACATGACATAATTAATTGAAGTTCAATTAGTTAATTGAACTTGTTAATTGCAGGCTCATATCTTCTTCTAACGCTATAATATATCATCATATCCTTTACATGCAAGTATTGACAAACTTCTCTTTTGTTTCAGAACATGACTGATAAGGAAGTTTCACAATACGGCGATAGTGTGTATTCAACAGACGATATCGAGGATATAGACTATGTGTGTATCTTAGCTTTCAGTAAGTGGATAGGTGAATCTAAACGCTATATATCAATCAATGGATCATTAATTGGACCAAATGACCCCGCTGCAAGTAAGTATTCTCATCTCAAAATAGCACAATAATATACAGCTATAATTACTTGGGTTACTATGGTAGCCCAAGTCTAGAAATGGGCTTTCTGCTTTCCATATAAATTATATAGGGCCCGCATTTTTGTCCAGAATCTCCAGATTCTACTACATTCTTTGATATAACTTTACTTAGCCTTTATTTTAGCATTGTATTTTTGAGCTAATGCCAAATGCATGTTGTGTCAAGAGGCTAGCTAATATAAAGTTCTGACTGTTGCTGTGGAATCACAGAATAACCCAGTGTGTCGTCATGTCTGTTACTGTATTCAAAATTGACTGTTGCTGCAGTGAGTGGTCCTGTCCCTTACTGTACTCAAAGTACTGGAATTTGAAGTTAAAGATTGAATTAGCACATTGTTTGAAATGCCTGTAAACGAGAATTTAGTGGCATAATTCGTAAAATTAAAGACATATAAAACATACCCAGATCATCTTGAATGGACCTTTCTCCTTATAACTAAAACTTTGATCTAGACAAAAATTTCATCACAGCTTGAAAGAGCATCACAAAATTAGTAATATTCCAATGTTTCGTTGCGAAATGTTGTAAAATGCGAATAATATAGCCTTGCGAAATTTTCCGTTTTTCAGTCATTTTGTATTACGCATGGGAAATTGACAGCCCAATCGGGTGTTGGGGCATCAATTTCCCGTTTGCAATACAAAATGACTGAAAATTGCAAATTTCGCAGGGCTATATATAATTATCTGCATTTTATAACATTTTGCAACGAAACTTCGGAATATTACTAATTTTGTGATGCTCTTTCAAGCTGTGATGAAATTTTTGGCTAGATTGGTCTAGATCAAAATTTTAGTTATAAGGGGAAAGGTCCATTCATTGTTTGTACTTTGCATAAGCCAGTTGTTTTTCAATTAGGCTATCAGGCCTTCCAGCCTTCCATAATAGGCATAATTTGACTGACTGACCTGAAATAGGTAGCCCAAGTTAACGTCTACGTAGGTATCTTGTTCAGTTAAGGTTGTCCTTCCAAAAAACTTAAACATTAAACTCTGAGCGCGCAAGAGATGATGGATCATTGCTTATTTAGACACATAAACTTTGAAATTTGGCTTTGCAAGAATACCTAAGACATATAGAAGACTCACGACACAAAACATACTTGCTGAAAAGAGAATTTTCTGAGTATAAGGGCCTAATTGGCGAAAACCCATCATCCCTTGCGCACTTATAGATTAGGCCTACTCTGGGGCGGTAAATCGCCTTAAATCGCTGCGATATAATGCAATTTTGGGCGATTTTAGGCGATTTAAGGAAAACTGGGACTTTCAAGCACTGCGATTTAGTGCGATTTTAGGCGATTTAAGAAAAAAATTAAATTTTAGGGATTGCAATTTAGGTGTTTTCAAAGGAATTGAATTCTATATTTTGCTCCGGTTTCCTCCCACAGGGCAAAATTGGCAGGGTGGCTTAGGATAAACACAGTTAGGAAAGTAATGTCATATCATAGAATAAAGATCCATATAGAAGGGCCACTCAGGGGTGCAACGTGTCCTCGTTTTTTTATGCAAAAATATGCAGTTTACTGGCCAGAGGCGGAGCAGCCAGCCAGTACAGCGTGTTTATTGGCCAGAAAATGTCATTGACTGGCTAGGAAAATGGCGGCCAACATGCGTAATGCGACATGCGCGAGGACAGAAACTTCAAAGCTTCCGACGTAAGTGGCCCTTCTATATGGATCTTTATTCTATGGTCATATCCTCATTGTTGTAAAGATAAATAGTCTAGGCTAACATACGTAATCATAGTACTTGATGTAATCGATCACTGAAAAGCCCCAATGTGGGGAGTGAGCTGAATAATAATGTAATGTTTCCACACATATATGCATTGTATGAAGCAAAATACAATTATTAGAACATGTATGTACATTTTATATAAAGCTAGGTTAACTATTGTATTTAATTAACCTGATTCACATATAAAGCTCAATATTCATGAACGTTTCACCCATTCTCTATTTAGAAGCCATTGGGGTTCATCTTGGGGGTCATACAGGGTGTTAGCTAGCCCATATGCTGTACGTTTGACGGACTCTTCCCAATTGAGGGCTTTTCCAACTGGGTCTACTGGAAAATTAGCATCTGTCCCCCAAAATTTTAACGGTCGGGCAAAAATCAATGCGAAATTGGTCAAAACCTAAAAATTTCAATATTCTGTGAAAAATTTTTCGGATTTGGCGGAAATTACGGAATATTTCTTTGATATCTCCTAAAATTGCAAAATATAATAAATATTTGATTTCAAATAGGGGGTAGAAACACACAATGTATTTATACAGTATAACTGAATAGGCTATAATCCCATAATTTACCTTGTCACCCTTGTAAGTGAAATTGTCTTGTTTTGTATCATGTCAAAGCTTCTTTATTTAGCTTGCACTTTATTTAAACTGTTTCAATCTCGTGATTTCTTTATGCTACAAACATATTTATAAATTTTTTGATATCTACATCATATGATATCCCAGTGCCATATCCAGAAACAGTATCGTCACGCATTCGGAAACTGTCGGCGTAATGCCGTAATGTTTAAATTACATGAAGTATATCGTATATAAATGGTAGGAATTCTAAATTATTTTAACTGATTAAAACCAAAATAGTACAGTGTCTCTCTCCTCTATGAAGCGTTATTCATGTCAATATTCGCTTTTAAATTATATTATGGAAGAACTCAATTTCGATTACACATGTTCGAATCGAAATTGAGTTCTTCCATAACATAATTTAGAACCGCATAACATAATTTAGAAGTGCATAACATAATTTAGAACCGCATAACATAATTTAGAACCGCATAACATAATTTAGAACCGCATAACATAATTTAGAACCGCATAACATAATTTAGAAGTGCATAACATAATTTAGAAGTGCATATAAACTAATAAATCTCTGGAAAATTACATGCAATGACGTATTTTCGGGAGACTATGAGCATATATATTGGTGCATAAAGCCTGGTTCACATATGCCTGCAACTGTATCATTATGCCTCTACTTGCCGCCGAAATACCGGCAAAGTTGAACTCAAGTCAACTTTCCCGGCCTACCGCCGATGTAACTGTGGCACTGGAGGCAATCGGCGAACAAATATTCGCATAATTTACGTTTTAAGCTACCACCGGCATCGTCGCCGGTACGTCGCAGGCATATATGTGAACCAGGCTAACAGGCTTAATAGAATTTGGAAATGTAACACTTCAGGTCAAACTTTGAGATCAGTGACACAGAGTAGACACATACAGAGCTGGAACTGGCCGTTGTAAACACTGCTGAAACTTACGTTTTCATGTACCCACTTTTTTTCAGGCGACCGGATCAACTGCGCGTGCTTGGCAAGTTCCGCGAACAGTTAAAGCGAGTCTCTATCCAATGAGATACATGCATCTAGTAACTTGCTGAGCATGCGCACAAAAAAAGTGGGCACACTAGTTATAACTCTGTATATGTATCTACTCTGTGTCAGTGACTCAGTGACCTCGTGAACAATTAAAATGATGGCCGACTCAAATGTAAATTCAAGCCAGATCAGTGATTCAAGCCAACTAGAAGAAAACGAAGAAAGTAGAAATTCTCTAAGAGCAATCCAGTTACTACAAGAGGCTACAAGATTACTTTCACCTCAACCAAACAGTCTATCTAGCACTACGGTGAACCAGGTTAGCGAAACATCAAACAGTCCTGCTCCATGGCCTCTATCCAATTCTAGTCCAGCTCCATCCAATTCTAGTCCAGCTCCAGGGGCAAGGCATGGAGATATTGTTGGTAATTTACGAAGCTTGTTTTCCCCTTACGGCACAGAAAGATTCAGATCGCAGTCGTCTGCCTACCAGATTGCACCAAAACGTACACGAAGAAATGGTAGCAGTAACTCTAATTATTATAAGGTGAAGGAGACTTGGACTCATGAATTTTTCTGCTTGGCCAAATGTAATCAAAATCGTGTACCTCAAAGAAGCGAAAAAAACATGTTACAGCAATGTGGCCTGGGAAGGAAAAAGATATGTTTCAATTCAAATTCCAATCCAGCAAAACTTAATGAAATGTTATTATCGCATTTCCCAAAATTAGCAAATGGTGGGGGGTTTGAAATTCTGAGATCTGGTGGAGCTAAGGCCACAGACCTTGTCATCATTCATCCACCGCCAATAGGATATTCTGTGCCATTTCTACGAGATCTATCGGGATTGGGTCAAGCATTGGCCTATGTTAGGCCTTTGCAAAGGAACCTTGACTTGACAATTCAGGCTATTCAGCCCTCAATGGTAAGTTATCAAAAATTTAATGAAAACTATGAAATCTAATAAACAAGTATTAATTTGATCCAGTGTTTTATAGTGAAGAACTGAAAATGTTTCCTCGTGGGGAAGGGGGGGGGGGTTGTGTTTTTTTTAAATAGTGTCTAGGGGTGTCATGGAATATTTTTATACTGTTCAAGGGGATGACATTAGGCATTTTGTCAGTAAGTAATAAATCAGTCATTAATTAATAAATTATCAACTCAGTAAGGGATTGTGCATAATTAGATTCCAATAAATTAGATAATTAGAGTTCATCAATTCATTAAGCTAACATTTAACTTTATAATGGTAACATGTACATGTTTTTCTGAGAAGTTAAATCTGATTAATTGTGATCAAATTTAAAACGGAGTTAAAAATGCATTTTTTATCTTCTGGGTTTTTTTGCAAAATATGTTTTAATTTTTGGGTGGGTCTCAGCTAAATTTGAGGTTTAATTATAAATAGTCTTTAACTATAAAAGTAATTTGGAATTAAAATGCGACATAATATTATAAAAAAATGTTCGATTATCTAGATTGACAAAAGTGCTGTTAATGCAACAGAGAAGGCACAAATAATTGAGTGTTTAAGCTGTGGAAAGGAAGTTCCAATAATTGAATGGCATGACCATCATTGTGCACTGCCAGCTTGTGATGAGAAATCTCCTGTGCCATTGGGTGCTTGTACAACAGTAACTCCAGGAGTTGCTCCAACAGGAGCTAGTAAGAATATGCTGGTTGGTACTAAACAGCCTTCAACAGACAACAACAAAGATCCCAACACATATGTAATTGTCATTAATGTAAGTTTTCACTGATGTATGTAAATGACATGTTACAAGGAAGGAGTCAAAATGTAATATAAAATGAATAGCCAATCAGACCACAATTATCCAGTGGCGGAGCTAAGGGGGGCGACGCCCCCCCCCCCTCCCCCGAATCCCCAATCACCACAAAAACCATTTTCTAAAAAATGCAAAATCCGTAGAGAAATTGGGGGGGGGGGGTTACACATTACATGCTCGAAGCTGAAACTGATTAAGTACATCTCGACCGAGGAAAAAGACGATATACTAGAGGAACTAGATTTGTAAAATCTCATTAAAGCAGTTGTAGATACGGTTCCAAGAAGAATAGATTTAGTTTAGGTTTTTAACTGTTAAATACATGTATACATTATCATAGCATGAATATTTCTTTGCAGACTTATTCTTTATCGTATAAAAAAGCAACACAATTTTGAGAATGAGGAAATGGTGTCTCTTAGAACCTATAATGATTTAACTGCAACATTTCTGATCAAAATCACATTGGGATTTTCTTCTCCCAGCATCATAGAGGGGAAATAAGGTGACACTGATCCCTCCTCCTGTTTTTCAAGGTGACTTTTCCAATTTATTTAATTCCGAGTAGAAATGTCTGGGAAAATTCATGTCTTCGATGTACTTTATAATCTTCTGAATTCTGCTAGATTTCATCCCAAAAGTGCTTGAAATCGCATTTCAGGGACCCTAGATTTCAAAAAATTTTCTGAGGGTGCATGCCCCCGGACGCCCCTAGGCATTCTCACGCTTTCGGCGTGAGGTTCGCCCCCCAAAAAAATGAAAGTCTGGCTACGCCACTGCAATTATCCTATAATTATGATAATATATGCCTGCAATTTAGGATTCCATATGATAATTAACTTTTAATTGGCTATTATATAATGTAATATATTAAAAACACGAACACTGATTTACATATTTCATTTAAGGATGATGATGTGACTAAGCTTTCAACAATTTTCCCCAAAGTTAGTCAGACAATGATTGGCAGTGTTTTAAAAACTTTCAAAGGAAATGCTGAAATGGCAGCCTCACAGCTTGCTGATTTAAGTGATGGTAATTATATCTAGTTAAAATGAATTAGGTAGTAGGGTACTTTTGTATATATTTTACACAATGTAAGGGAATAAATCACACCTTGAATTAGTACACAGTTAGGTAATAGATAGATTTTTTTAATATTATGGTCAAGATATATCAAACATGAATATATGACATATATAAATGCATTATAAAACTTAATTGCATATTTGTTGTTAAAATTGTTCCAGGAAACTTAAAAAGACAGTTAAGACAACTTGAAAAGACAGTTAAGACAACAAAAGCTAATGAGCATGCTGAAGCTGTGCTTATAAATGTTTGTTGACTCTGACATAAATGGAATAAGGGGTAATTGTTGCCCATCGTTAAGATATGTGTGTCTTAAGTTGATGTGACTATAAATTACATGCTGTATCACTGATTATATTGTGTCAAAATTATTGGACAAATTCTAAACGTTTCTATGTAAATATAAACATTCCGGGTGTACGAACAACTAAATCAGTTTAGATTTAGGCTTTATATAATGATCAAGGCTTTCGTTTGTTCTTATGCTGAGAAAGTACTTACTGTACAATATGTTTAGCATATGAGATGAGGTATTAATTGGGACAAAAGTCTTGTTCCACATTCCAATCGTATACATTGTCTTGCAGCAAGTTAGGCCAATGAAAATTGATATCATGTTTCTCGTCCACAATTAGGTTATTTATGTATTTCACTGCCGTTAATTAATATAGCAGTGAACATTCTACCCAGTAGCTCTCTAAATTCTAAAGAGTGTCTTCATAATTATTCACAATAAATTCATTCACAGAAACTTATGGTGAAAGTGTCGAAGAGTATTTGTTCAAGAATATCAAAGAAGGACAGGAGCAGTCAATTGTAATCAGTCGAAAATCAACTTGCATTCTTGCGGACCTGATTAAACTACATAAACGAGGTTTGGACATACAACTTATACCAGACGTAGAGTTCATTGGCGAGCCTGGCGTAGATGCTTCTGGACTAACACGAGAATTTTTTCATCTATCAATGACGGCGTTAGCCACCGGAGACCGGCGTATTACCCTTTTTGAAGGTGAAAGAAATCATCTTCTTCCTTTGCACTCCACAGATGCCTTGGAGTCAAATCTTTACTTCTATGTTGGAAGGATGATAGCGCATACATTTCTGCACAAAGGTTACCCTTTCGTGGCACAAGCAGTTGTTCAGTATATTTGTTCACAAAGTATTGAAGAGTCTATTCCGCTTATTTCTATAAAGGATGTTCCTGATCTTACTATTCGGCAAGATATTGAAAAGGTAAAGTATGTAACTGTATTCCAAATGGATATATGCAGCATAATATAGGACCGTTCCACCAGAAAAAAAATGCACGAGGAGAAGTGTCTTGATATAGGACACCATTTTACCTAGTATATTTTCAACTATAATTAGCATAATTCAAATTGGAAAATCAGTGGTGTTTATGTTTTGGAAAGGAAGGGCCTCTTGCAGTTAAACAACCATATCCAGATGTACAGTAGATGCAAGACGGCCATTTTGCAATTCCATGACTATCAATTTGTATTCAGTATTTTTTCTTAGATAATGAATGCAAAAAGCGACGAACTGTTGGATGTGAATGCTTGTGACAAAATCATTACACTTCTCAGTACGAGTGGTTTTGCGAATAAAGTTTTAACTACAGAAAACCGAGAAAAAGCAGTTCAAGATATCCTTATCTACCATGTGCTTCGAATACGACGGGCTGAGATTGATGAGATCCGCAGGGGTTTGGATTCCGTCGGGTTAACATCGTTTCTTAAATGTAATTCATCGTTAGTATCAAGGGCATTTGCACAATCAGATCAAGTAGTTGTTAAAGCAGATCAGCTTATAAATAGAATCATTGTTGAATTAAAGGTGGCCGACCTCAACAACAGCCAAAAGCAGGCGATAGATTGGTTCAAAGACTTTATTAGCCAACTTCCAGCTGAGACCGATGTTGGTAAAGTATTTAATACCTGTATATTTGCCTTATTCATGCATATACCCGGTGTCCCAAAAGAGTTGCACAATTGTGATTTTGTGCCCTAAACCAGGACATGCGCCAATAACACCAGTATGTATAGCAATAAGTTTATTTTATTATTATCGTGTAAACAAATTTCCATGACGGAAAACAGGTTATATACCTGCACTGAACAAATTCAGGTTTCATATATAGATGTGCTTTTATGCACAGTTCATATGAAAATTGTGCATATGGTGATATGTATTCGGTACAATCATAGGCTGTCCAGCAAACGCTACGTCACTCATAATGTATGTATAATAGGATAACCCATTGGGTACTCTCTAACTTTGACATTTGTACAGTAGTTACCATAATTTGATTTGATATATTTAAATAAATTATATCCTTTTTAGATGATAAGTACAAGCCGACTTTAGAGAAGCTGACTCAGTTTGCTTATGCTGATCCGTTACCACCTACTAGAATGCTTACTGTTAAGTTTAGAAGAGACGATAAAGAGCTTCCTGACGCTGATGCGTGTGCCGCAACAATCCAACTTCCAACATGTCATGCCACATTTGAAGCATTTAAAAAAGCGTTTGATTGTACACTTAGTGCTCAAGCAACGGGTTTTGGACGGATGTGAATGTCATATTTACAAAGCATATATCTGCAAAGGGATAGGTTACACTACATTTACTGGTTAGTTAAAGAATTAACAAGCACATAATTTGTTTGTTGCTAATGTTATCTGAGTAGAGCTGATATGTACTGAAATGAGTCGCTATACCTAGTCTGTTATGTGAGAAATGTACCTTGTCCATGCAGGATACCAATGGCAATGACTACTAATATTATTTTGAACAAAGGCAGTAAGTTGCCTTTTTGTTTTTCATAAAACCATGTAATTGTACATCTCAATGTATTAATTTAACACATTAACATGATGGTCCATGAAGATGGAAAGTTGGAAATTTCCTGATTCATGAATGGAAATGACCGTTGGCCTTGTAAATTCTGTATATGAAATATTAACCAAGCGACCAATTTTAGTACATGCAGATACACTCTTGCCTCTATCGTTTTATATTCTATTGTCATTTAGTTACGTTTGACTTTGTTGAGTTATTTAATTCCATGTTAGCTTATATGTTCAGTTGAATAAAAGAGAGGACTTCTAAATAGATGTCAACACCATGAACATCACTTTCTCGCAACGGGTTGATTGCATTACTTAATAAATTGTTATTTGCAATGCTCAAGGGACTATTTGTAATCGGTATTTCAACTTGCGCAATCATGCTTAACCTGTCATCATGTGGTTCGCTTGGTGGAGGTCCATCCCAATCCACCCCATAGTCGTATTCATCTTCCTGAAACGATTATTACAGTAGTTAATTGTGATTAAACCTAAATGAAATGTCTTGAGTTAAAGAGCTGTCAGTGTCTCTTGTTAACATTAGAATGCTGTTGTTAGGGTTTGTAATCCAAGTGAGTATATATATACATTTTAAGAGCTGACCAGGAACGAATGTGAAAAATGCAGCACAAGGTCCTCTGGCAGGAATTGATCCTATGGCCCTGCGAATCGCAGTTTCGTATTGTATTCGACTATCTATCTCCAGACCTTTAACTAATGGGATTAATCTAGTAAGAATATTATGTTATTAAACAAACCTGACTCCACAATTCTTCAATCCCTCTGTTCCTGTTCGTTATGGATCCATGAATCCAGAGTTGTAAAGGCGATTTGCCTCTTTCAGTGCTTAACGGAGCTCTATTGTGTCCGCCAGAGAAGATTTGCAAATTGCGGTTGATTCGGGGTACATAGACGTAATGTAGAGCAAATATATGCACTTCATTAGAGGGATCCAGTATCCCACATTGCTCCATATCCAGAAACAAGTAATAAAACACGTGGATGCAACCTGAAAACATGTCGCGCCATAAACGTTCAATGCGCTGGTTGTGCACGCTTCTACCAGCGATGTGGCTTCCTCTCCCTACACCACGTAGTGGGTGGCTCAACATATGCCTAGCAACGTCTACATTTTCCCCACCCTTGTCCGATCGGACTCTAGATGGCAACCCGAACTCGTCAACAGCAGTTAAGAAATATCGGAGGACTGTTGTGGCATCGTTATCAGTGCTACAACGCAAAAAGACAATCATACGAGAATAACCGTCGATGCCACCATGAATCACTAATCGCCATCTAAGGAAAAAAGGAAAGATCATATTTTTGAGCATTAATATGTTTTAAAAAAGTGCAATAACTTATCTTTATGGACATACTAGCCCAATGCTCTGCCAACTGAGCTACGCGGTCAGGTCGACGTCGGCTCGAGTATGTCCAAAGGTCGTAGGTTCGATTCCCACCGTGGACAGGCATTTTTTCAAGCTTGCCCGGTGCGGATATACACTCAGAGTAACATCACAAGCAACTTATCTTTAATTAAAATTTGTTGACAGATAAGATTGTCTCATATCACACCTGTATGTATAACTTGTAAAATTTTAGTAACTTTCATAATTCAAGATAATAAGTACTATTGTATACTTAACAAAATTACTGACGATTAAATTAGAGTGTTTGAAGCCGAGGAACGAATTAATTAGCAAATACATATGTTCAAACCACATTTGCACCACATTTTTATAGCTGTCCAGGGACGTGCTGGGGTCTTGAAAAGGACGACGAATGAACAATGTCTGATAGGGCCCAGACACAGTGACAGATGGATCCAAATTGGGGTGGGGGTATTACTGATCAAACATGAAACATTTCAGTCGCTAATTAATCTTTTTCCCCCAAAATTGTTGGCGAGGGGGGGGGGGGGTAAAACATTTCCTGAATTACCATTTTGCAGTAACTTTCAAATTAATGTATCGTAATTTGTTACATTTTTCAGTAATATTTTCGTAAATTTAGATTTTTAAAACTATAAATTGTAATATTTTAATCTTCATTTTCAAAATTAAAATCTATATTTTTTATCTTTTACAATGTTTTAATTTTAGGGGCCCATAATGGCAGGGGCCCACAAGAA